TCTAGAAACATCTGCATCTCATAGTATATTCACAGTGTTGATCAGTTCTCAATGATAGAGACCTGACTTCTGTTCATTGAAATGCTGTTCACTTCAATAATATAATCTAAGAAATTAATCTTCTGCATGTAGAATGAGCATTTTTCAGTATTTATATAAAGTTAATACTGTTTCAAGTGACTTAACACTTCTCAAACATGAGTATCATGTTCTTTCTCTGATTTTGAGAAGATTAGAATGTCATTCAGATATACTATATAAAAGACATTGATAAGGCTCTACAGTGTCTCATTTATATAGATCTGAAAGATGGCTGAAGCATTACAAAGATCAAAAGATAAAACAAGATATTTAAAATTACTGTACTTAATATGAAAAGCTGTTTTTCAAATGTTATCTTTATTAACTCTGATTCTATAATAGATATTCTGTATATTAATCTTTGAGAATATCTTTACTTAAGATAATTAATTAATCATCTTGTCAATCAATAGTAATGAATAGTGATTCTTAATTATCATCTTATTGAGGTCTCTGTAGTCTACACATAGACATAGTCTATCATTATTCTTAAATACAAAGAGTATAGATATCTCTACTGAACTCTTTAATAAGTATATTCAGTTCTTTGATTGTGCTTCTTCAAGATATTTGCACAGAACATTTAATTTCTTTATAGATAAGTTATAAAGAGACCTGTATAACACTGTTACACTGTCTTCAAGACAAATCTTATATTATATCTTGATATCAGGAAACTTCACTACTTCTCTTTTCAAAAAGACATTCTTATAATCTGTAAAGAGATATTGTATATATTCATCTTTAATAACAGATACTGCTGCTAATCTTGCAGTGAAAGTGATGACTTCTTCATCTGTTCTTAAGTCTTAATCACCTGCTATGCAGTATATTAACTCTATCTTTTTCTCAAGATTCTTTCAATGAAACTCTTCAGATTTCTCTATCACTGTCTCTTTATTAGTGAGATAGTATCATCATATCTCAGTGACTCAGTTAATGAGAGAATTATTTTCTCTCAATTATAAGAGATCTAGAATAATGTTCTCATCTATAATATTAACTGTATAAAGAAGTAGACTGCTTTTCTTAAAGATTTCTTCTAAGTCTGTGATCACATACTTCACTTAAATTATGTTAAAACAGTGATATTTTATTTCATCAGTAAATTTCATATAATCTGACAGATCTATCTTCTTTCAACTCTTCATCAAAGAAAAGAAATAGAATATGAAGTTAGTATTTACTCTGAAGTTAAGTAGATATCTCACTGATATCTTCTCATTCAGAGTATACATTGTGATTATAACATGAACTCAGAGATATAAGAATTATTAATTCTTTATTTCTTTCTCTTCTTTATCTTCTATGAATATATTTGCTAGAAGAGAAGTTAACTTTAAGAAGATATCTTCTCAGTTTCTTTTCTTCTTCAGCTTCTTATAATCACTGATATAGTGTTTATCAGCTTTGTAGTTAAAATAGAGATCTTTATTAAATCTTTTTTAGCATTTCTTCACAGTGAGTGAAGAATCAGAATATTTGAAATTCTTCTTTACTTTCTTCACACTGAAGCTGTCATGACACTGTTTAGATTCTGTTATTAATTACTTAGAAGAGATCTTGTTAATCTTTTTCTCAGAGAATTGATTATTCAAATAGATTCAGAAAGTCAGATTGACAAGCTCAGTATAATTAATTAATAAACTCTGATATTGTGATATTATTATTCACATCTTGTAAGTCAGCTTTATAAGATAAAGCTATATTTTTAATTGATTTAAATTATCAGTTAATTTCTCTCAATATTCTTCAAATCTTGCATTGAAATTGAAAGAATTCTTATTATTTTATTAATATAATGAGTTAAACTGCTGCACTGCTGTGAAGCTGTAGTTATAATAATCTTTAATTTGATTCAGTAGAAAGTTCTTAAATTCTTTTCAAGTTATAATAGTATTAATACACTCAAGCTCTCTCTTCTTAATAACTCAAGTAGTCACAGAGATGTCTTCAAGAAGATTGACAGTGTATATTACTTATATCTTATAAGTATTATACTGGCTCAGATTAAGACAGAATTTCTGTTCAAGAATATGAGTAAAGCTGTGAAATTCAGATAATATGTTTTTCTTGTATCTTGAAGAATCTTTAATCTTAATCTCTCTATTCTCATAATAGATGTAAGTGTGTAGAGGCTGCAGTAGTAGCAGAGCAGTTGAAGAGCTCATATTAAAATATATAGCAGATTTAGAAATCTTGAATTTCTGCTGAGATAGAGATGTATACACTCTAGAGAATAATGTGAAGTTTCTCTCAGAGAGTGAGATCAGATCAGTCTCAGTGTGAGTATATGAAGTTATATCAGTTTGTTAAAGCTTGATTAATTCAAACTTGTAATCAGATTGAGTAATTTAAATTGTAATATAATAGAACTGAAGCAGTGACTAGTCAGTGATATTATATAGAGATAGTTGTTTAAGAAGCTGTATAAGTGAGCTTAACTATCTTACTTAAATAGTGAGCTTATAGACTACAGAGTTACTGTGAGAATATCACAGATATAATACTTAGTATACTAAGAAGATTGTATGAGATACACAGTAACTCTTATATATCTTTCAGTAGAAAAAAAACAAATTACTAACTACTTTAATTGAGAGTCAGTATCTAGCTATTCTATATAGATAATGAGCAGATACTCTTCTCTCATTTCATAAGTAAGAATAGCTGAAGTGATATCTTAGCAGCATCTCACTATTAAGAAAGAGTAATCTGCTGATCTTGTATAGAAGTGAGATTCTCATATTCATCAATTGAATCTTTCTATAATATATTTAAATGATGTTATAGAGTGGTTGAAAACTAGTTCAGATGAGATGAAATCATCTGTATGAAATTGATAAGCCGTGTGAAACCGCAATAAGGCCTTGACGCGGCTGAGAGCTTGACAATGATCTCTTTCATTAATCATGTATATAGCTTTGAGAATAAATTTTATGAAATGTATATTATATTTTATATTCATTTTATTGATGAAGAAAAATAATAGAGAATTCATCTGATCAGATGATATTCTTTCAATTCTTCAAAATTTAATTCTTATATTTCAGACAGAATTGAAGTTGATTTAACTATATTTTCTTAATAAGTTCTGACTTTTATATAGATTTTTTCACAGATCTGCTTTGTAAAGAATTCTTCATATAGTTATAAAAAACATTTCAATTTCTTTATTACTGAATTTATTGATAAAATCAGTATATATTTTTTCTCATTTATATTAATTATATCAAATCTTTGTAAATATAATATTTTTAATATTATCATTTCTCAGAGTTGATCAGTTAAATTCAGAAATATCTCAAAGTTATTCATTATAAAATATAATATAAAACAGTTCAGAACTGAATCTGTGTTCAATTGCATATCTATATATACAGTTAATTTGACTCTTTGAAATCTGAGTGATTTTCATGATTTCAGCATTTAACTTGTCAAAATAAAGTGATTTAAAAGTCATTACAAAAGCTCTTATAATAATATCAGTATTTGATATTATATAAAATTGACAGATGAGATATTAAAAATGAGATATTTAAGAAAAAAGAGAAATCAACTCAGAATATGTGACAATCTTATATAAATAAAATACAGAGTGATTTGAAGCTAAATATAATTACTCATTAAAACATGATGGCACTTCTTAGCTATATAAATTGAATTTTATTATTACAGATATTAATAAATCAGATTACATGCATGTGGGTATGTGGTAATATAACTAACTACATTAGGACTAGTGTGACTGGTGCGTGACCCACTCCGTTTCAGCCAAGTGTTTTGTTTCCTTCTTTTCCCCATATCAAAAGTATCAAAAGTTATCAAAAAAAGTATCTTCGGTCAGGCTTAGACTTAGTCTACACTGTTACACTATTATTACGCTGTTACGCTACGCTACGGACGCTACGGACGCTACGGAAGGGAGGAGAGCTGGAGATGTTGGAACTACGGAGTACTCCGTACAAAGAGAAAAGAAGAGGCGGCCCCCCCCCTTGACATTATTATTGGGGGCGTTTTGAAAAGAATCTCACCTATATTCTTTTTTTTGGCCTGTGGCTTTCTTAAGATTTGTCCCGGACTGGACTGAGACAGCTTTAATGCCTAGCTGAGGTCTACGTTGATCTATCCTATTTTGGCGCGCTGATAAATTTTTTTTTTTTTTTTTTTTTTTATTTTTTTCCCCAAGGTACGCCAGCCAGTACTTCCTCAATTCTTGCTAAATGCTTAACTTACTTAGGGTGAAAGAAACCAACTGACTGACCAAAGTTCCCAGCGGTGTCCGTCCTCTTGCCAGTCAGTTCCTTTGGTGGGAAACCCAACATTTGCCCGCACAGTTACTCTCCGTATTGTATTTGAGGTTGAAGATGGCGATTGGACCTATTCCGCACTCCCACTGAAACCATCAATAACGACATGGATGGTCTGTCCGATTCTGTCAGCAGAGTCATGACCAAAATTCAGAACATTAGAGCAGGAGCCAGTGAGTTGTTCCATACATACTACTGCGTACCGTACGCAGTACGCGTAAAGGACCGAATGCTAGGTTTAGGTGAAGCTGAAAACGCACCATGTGGAATTTGACGCTGCTAGTCGAACTAATAAACTTCTGACGGGGATAATTATAGCTAGAGTCCACTGGCCCTTTAAAACTTATAAGTGGACGGAAGTAACGAGCTACTTGAAACCAAGAAGCAAATTAACTTTTTTTTGGCTGGAATTTGTTTCTGATTCGGCCCTCCAGCCTCGATCGATGTCTTTTGTTTCCCAAATCCTGCCACGTCTTTGCGGCGGTCAGACCTCCCCGGGCGATTTTTTCCTTGAGCCTCATCCGGCCCTGCTCAGGTAGTTTGACGGAATAATGTCGGTTCGTCCGATCAATCTTCGCCCTCTCTTTTTGTTTCTTCTCTTGATGCTCGTTTTTTTTTTTTGATTCCCCCTCTCTTGCTTGATTATTATGGTACCCCGTATACCACCAGCTTGTACATGTACCCTCTCGGCTGTGAGTTATCTTGGCATTAAGCTCTTCTCCACCATTTCCACACTCGTCCTTCCTCTTCGGTTGTTGCCCCTTTTTTAGGGTCTTACCCCCCCCTTACCTGCTTCCACAGCACATGGTGGGCCGCAAGCCAAACTTCCACACCCATGCTCTCATCACAGTCAATACGGAGGCCTGCTGTTCTCGTCTTTGTTGCCATCGCCGTTTTACTATGTCTGATCAAGTTCTCACAGTCGTTGGATCACCACCCGTGGAGATCCAAGCACGATGATAGCAACCGTCAGGGACAGCCGATACAGCAACCGAAGCCAGAAGAGCAACCGAAGCCAGTAGAGCAACCGAAACAAAAGCAAACCGAGGAGCTTGTTAAACCTACACATGTCACTATTACAGGCATGGTATTCTTCGGGAGGCGGGATCGAGTCGAGTCGATGAATTGCTATGTTGAGGTTGGTTTTTTTTTTTTTTTTTTCTTTCTCTCTCTTTCCTCTCTTTTTATCGATCTTAGATAGGTGCTCCTTAGTAGGGTCGTGGCCACGTTCTCTGGTTGTGTGCGCACAACAGAAACCGGAGGGTGCCATTTTTTTTTGCTATAAGAAAGGGTATATAAATTAGTAAGAATGAAATGATCGCTGACTGTTTAAGTAGAAGAATCTGATCGAAAATGGCGGATGGTTGGACGAGGTGTGGTGGTACGCCAACACGAAAAATGAAGATGATCTCAAATATCTCGACGAGATAATTGCGAGGTCCCCCCGCTATAAGAAAATTCCCTTGGACAAACCTGTGCAATGGCCAGACTATACAAAACTCTGGAGGCGGGTGGAGCGGGGTACGATCTACGTCAAGCTTGATGATGATATTGTATGCGCTACTCCTCCATCTTTATCGCGGAAAATTTATTGGTTTCCCGTCTTTGACAAGGACAGGCGTCGGGTTGTTCCGGTTTTTTTTTTTTTTTTTTTTTTTTTTTTTTTTTTTTTTTTTTGAATAATATCACTTACCTTCATTCATCAGGTTTGGCTCGCGGACGATGCCATCGCACACATGGTCACGACCAAACTAAAATACCCGGACAGCTTCGCCGTCTCCGCGAACGTCATCAACAGCCCTCCCTTGTCTTTCATTCACTTTCATCAAGGTGCTCTACACCCGTACTTCCCCGAGCTCGAATCAGATCCGACTCGCAAGCACCGCAGTGGCTCCGAAAACTGGCGCCCTTCCAGCCACCCCTTCTGGTCCGGTGCAAGCAACTTCGAGTGGCCGCTGGATAAAGACCCGCCGCCCGGGGGTACACATCGCTGGCTCCGTGTCGACGACGACAAGGCCCTCCACCGCACCCCAGTCGCGAAGTTGACTTATGACTTCTGGGGTCCCACTTATGAGAGCTGGGCGATTGCGGCGCAGCAACACTACTCACTACTGGAGAACCTAGAGAAAAATACCACAGATCTATATAAATTCCAACCACCGTGGAATATGCAAGGGGAGCGGATTCGGATTAATTGTCTCGTGATTCTGGGAGATGATATTCTAGATACCGATGTAGAGCATTGGCCGGACAATAGGGGGGATGAGGATATGATTGTTTTGGATTTGCCGAAGAAGTTACAGAGACGTGAGTACCATTTTATATCCCCACCGCGCCACGTTTGGGATTCGTAGTCAGTTTTTTATGACAAGCGCCCTTTTATTCCACTCTTTGCAAATTGAAATATTGATGAGAAACTACTGACGCATCACATTTGCTACCATATTCACAGACGTACTTATCGAAGGCAGAGCTCTCGCCGCTCACTTCAATTTCATGCACCAAGGCGGAGTCCCATCGACGGATTTACTCTCTAGGTATAACGAGTACGCGCACGAATACATATGTAAACCACGAAATAAGCCAAACTAGCGGTAACCGCGCAGAGGGTATCATAAACATCTATATATATATAATCATATCATGCCATTTTTCTTCTTACAGACACCATTTTCTACCCCCTAACTTTAATATATGTCATGGGCGAGGCATTTCACTGCCTGCTTGTCTGCCTTTCCCGATTTCATTTTTTCTCCTACCTATCACTTTTCTCATCCTCTCAATTTCTTTGCAATTTCTTTTTTGTTTATGTACCAACTTACCAACTTATTTATTTACTCCATTTTTCGTATATAAGCTCATCATTATTTGTCATTGGATTCATGCGTGGGATCTAGATGGTTTTACAAATATCATCCCCAAAAGGTATTTGAAACAACTCTTTCCTGCCGCTTTTTCGATTTCTTTGTCTAACTACAGAGTACGGAGTACTGAACTAGTCAAACAGTGGATGAGTTTTCTCTTGAAACATGGTCTAGGCAGGTATTCCTATCAGATCACCTGAACACCAGCGCAACTGATAACAATGAATTATGGCTGGCATAGTGTTATATGGTTCAGATTTTTTGTAAGCTTGTGACTGAAGAGACCGTTGATATATATGGAAGTTGGAGGACGCGCATCTAATGAAGGTTTGCCGGCCTGGCACTTTTTCATTTCTGATAATGCTAGATTAACCAGCTCTGGGGGACCCCCCTACCCTACCCTACCTCTTAAAAAACAAAGGAAGTGTTCAGCATTTAAGTTGAGGGAACTACCAATTATTTTTATAATTATCATTGTTGGAGATGTGGCAAGCAGATGACGGCGCCTTATCTGTGTCATGCATCACACTCAGCCAAAACTCCTTCGCGCAAAATACCCGAAGGACAGGGAACACAATATGCTAGGAGCTTTAGATGATCAGGAGTGACGACTTACTGTTGATTGCGTTGATCAGGGACCGCCGCCAAACATATTGCGTCAGCGGGTACTTCAAGCCTATCGCCTTGCCTAGTCCGCTGAGGTACCAATTCCATGTACCTGATTTGAGTAGCACCGCCTTAGATGTTCCATGTCCGTCCTTGTCATGTGCGGGTTGGCGAAAGACCGGCTGGTCCAAATGCTCTCTCTTGATTTTCAGTTGCCTGCCAACTCGGTGCGGTGGGATAGATATCCGCCAGCCGCTAGAATCCGGCAGTGAAGATTCGTTCATCAATAGTCATGGAGAGAAGATGTCCAAGGAGGTCAAGGATTGGCTCTCGACTGTGAGTAATGACAAAGGTTTTCCAAGCAGACATCAGTTTTCGGACCTAGGCGGCAAAGTATTGGAAGTTGACCTATACTCTTGGCTTTTTGTGCTAGCCTTTCGTGTGAAGAAGCGTGATTTGGGCAAGGAGCAAGTTTGGCCGCCCCGGCTGTGAATAGCGGATGATGTGAAACGAAATATGCCTCCAGAGCAGGGCCCCTGTCTCTTCAGGGCCCGCATCATACTCATCATCTGTCACATCCTCGATGAAATCCCCATCGGGCTTGTTTGTGGGGCTAACACTGTCATATCCACTGTCTGCGAAGCTAATATCGTCTTCATCTTCATCTTCATCATCTTCGTCGCCAGTATCATTGTCAATGTCACTCTCCTTTGTCAAGGGAGAATGTTCAGAAGCATCTTCTAGGCCATCATGGGAAGAGTCGCTCATGTTCACATCTGAAAGATTAGTTTGATCGGGCGAGGATGTCTCCTGAACAGCAGCCGATGCTCTTCGGCTGGTAGCTGACTTAGCTCGCTTTGACACCAGGAGCCCCCTATCGTCATTCAAAGGAAGCCGCTTCCGTTTCCCAGGTCCTATATGCTGTTTAGGGCGCTGATTCAGAGAAAGCTTGATTGACGGAAAGCAAGCTTCCCGATGCTTTGCTGGTCAACTTCTCCGGTACATCCTCTTTGTTCTTCACTCGCGTGTCAAAAGCGACACCAACCGAGATCCGGAGATAAAGGACATGAGTATACCAGCCGCGACATAGACACGCTGCTTCTCATCAGCATAGATCTTTGTAGAGAGCGCTCCCAGTGGAACCGGAGGACACGATACACGTCATCTTTTGTGCCCGAGGGCTTATGCTTTGGGAGTCTCCGAAGGCCCCATCGCTTGATGACGACATTCTTGTACTGTCCAATGACCGTGGTTAGCTTTGTTGAATCTTCGCTTGCAGGAGTTGAGCATACCCGCCGGCAGTCCCGTGCAGTCGACTCCGACTCGTCCAGCGTCTTGTCGGTCTTCTTGGTGTAGAGGGACTTGAAGACTCGCCAGTAATTATTAAGAGAAGATGCGGGCTTGATACTCTCATTGTGGGTTCTTTCGAATAGTCAAAATACACCTTGACACTAGAGGAGGTCAAGGCCTCAAGGAATTTATCCTGCGTGGTCTCAAGCTCGAAGCACACAGCCTGCCGCTAGTCAGCATGCGCAAGTATGATTTTATCAGAGAGTAGAGCCAAACCCGTCAAGCTGCTGCTGCACTGTTGCTTTGCTCCTCTTGTAATTGTCTGAGTCATCTGGAGGCGTCCGGCCGGTGGCTTCATGCTGTTGTAGAAGTATCTTGTAGACACTGATTAGCTTGGCCTTGAAGTTCTGGCAGCAATTATACAGGTGTTGCACTCTCACCCTCTCAGTGGTCATGGTGCAAGATTAATGTAGACAGTTGTGAGCTGAGAAGGCCACACTGCTCGAATATCAGGTGGGAAAGTGGGAAAGTGGGAGCCAAAATGGGCGCCCCTGTCGAGTTCAATGGGGGGAAGTGAAGGAGAGGTGAGTGGACAGTTTGAGGATCAGGCATTGCAAACTCATTCTGGCGGCCAGGGAAATGGTGGCCATCAAATACTGGAGGGGCCAGCAAAGAATGGTGCGGCGGTTGCATGCTTACTGGAGCAGGGTGAGCTCCGGGTGAAGATGGGGTGAAGGTACTTGAAGACAGGTGAGCCAGGGCGGTAGGCTAATAATCAATCGTAGAAGCAGCCAGGAATCCGGTCCCCAAGAGGCTCTGAGGTGCCGTGCATCACCATGCAACTGATTCGTTTGGTGTAGATTGGGGAGGGATCAAGCTACCACAAGGCATCCGAAGAGTACGGAGTAGTAATCAAGAAATTTAAAACTAGTCGATACATCCGGAGTATATGCAGAGAAATTCCGCGAGAGTAATAAAAATGGAATGAAAATGGGTAGAGTGCAAAGGTAAACAAAACATGTATCAGAAAATAAAATTGAAGTTAAAATTGAGGGTCGCTATCAATCAAACCTCCCGCCCCAATGCAATAATAATATAAGAAAAAAAAAATTATATTACGGAATGGAGTTCTAGATAAATCTCATGCAAACGACAGTGTCGTTTGGCCTCGTTCCGGTTCAGCGAGCCTAGATAAGAAAAGAGATCTGGAGTTAGCTCCTACATCGTAGTGTCGTAGTGCCGAAAACACGGGGTAAGAAATAACGTACTCTTTGACTCTAACGTCTGGCGCGGGCTGGATTTCATGCCGTGCGCCGGGCGTAATGAAAATAAACTGCCGCCCAACGGACCGTCTTGCGGCGATCATCTATTACGATAAATAGTAAGTCCCGTGAGGACCGTGGAGCATGGGCGGGAAACTTACCAGCATTTCAATACTCATTCGCCGGTTAATATGGTCCATGTATACGTCACTATTAGGAGGGGAAATAAAAAATTAATATAAAACGAAAATATAGTATAGTGGGAGAGGTACCGGTCAACCACGTCCACGTACAATTCATCCAAGCAGCGGATCGGTGACCCCATAGCCTCCCAGAGCGATAGCAAAAGGCATATTTGCGAGAACGACTTCTCCCCTCCGGATAGAGTTTTAGCATTTCTCCCTCTGGCACTGTCCTTGGTGATGTCCGGCTCGATCTGGATATCAAGCAATTTCTTCGTGTGATCTGATAGAATCTGGCCGCGGAAACTTCGCTCGCTCAGCAGATATGTAAATTGGAGTTTTGCTTGGGCAGTGATGAGAGAGCGGAAATTCTCCCATCGTTTTCGCCGGTTTGTCAATGTGATTTTGAACCTCTGCGGAATTGTTAGTTATTAAGAACGAGAGAAAATTTTTGTAGTAGAGTAGAAGTTATTACCTGCGCAAGCTCTTCAAGCTCAGCAACCTGCCGCCTAGCACTTTCATACTTCTCCTCTGATTCGGCTGCTTCGGTGGCAATCTTCTCCCGATCTCCCAAACTAGACGTTGTTAGCAAAGTCTTTTCCTCTTCCTTCGACCAAAAAAAGAACGAAAATATACATACTCCTTATCAAACCGATCAAGGTCCCTTTTTAATCTCATGAGTTTCTTATCAAGGCTATTCGCCGTCTCACCCTGAGGAACGGTCACACGCGGAGAAATGGAACTTGCTTTAGCACTAAAATCCAAGATGATATCAACGAGTTCCTGGCGCTTCCTCGCTATGTATTCCTTGTCCCCCTTCACAGACTCAAGCCTATGAACAACGACGTTTTTATCAGTGAGAGCTTTTCTCCGTTTCTCTAGCATCCTGGACTCTTCCCCTTCAAGCTCTTCGAGCTTTTTCCGATATTTAGCTATCTCCAGTCCAATTTGCGCCACTTCTTGTTTCTTCTCTTTGACGATTTCAACTATGCTGTCCATTTTGTTGACGCTGTCTTCGAAAGAGCTCTCGTAAGTGCGTTTCTCTCCTTCGCTTTCTTGTAGAGATGTGTGCAGACCTTCTAGCCGGCCATCTTCAGTTGTATCTCCGTCAATTGCACTCTGAAGCTCCTCAACGCTGTCCTCCGCTTTTTGCGAGGCGGTCCTTAGATCTTCCACCTGTTTTTTATGTCTGTAGAGTGCCTGTTTGCATTTTTCAAAATGGGTGCGCGCTAATCGTTCTTGGGTTTCAAGCTCGAGGAGATCCTGTTTCAAGCTATTGACAGCATCTTGTTGTATCCTATACGGCACACAACTGGTCAGTAATGGGGAGCCTGGGTTTTATTACGATGTAAATGGCTACAAACCTAATTTGTGACTCTATGTCAGTTTTCATCCGGGGTCGTCCTGTATACGCTTGGACTGGAGATTGTGTGGGCTCCCCCGTCCGGCTAAAAGATAAATGAATCCCTCTTCGCCGATCTCGCCGGTCGATGCAGAAACATCGCTTCGCATTTCTCGGCCGAGGGCCATCAAACATCACCGCGGAAGCTTCTTCCAAGTCCTCAATGAGTAGAACCTGCTCAATGCCATTGGTGATAACCAGCTGTCTTCGAACCAAATCGTTATCGATCTAAATGATATATGTACTTTTTTAGTAAAGAAGCTATCGTTTGTTGATATAATCGTTGGCAGTTTCCTACCTCTAAAACGCGCAACACTGTGTCGAATTGGGGGTCAGGTTCGTTGGGGGACGTATCCATGGTCCCATTATCATTCCCGATGAAAATCGGGCATTCACTAATGGGAATGAATTAACATACAGAGCGTGGTGCGCCGCAAACTCAGTAATGTCATTGAAACTTACCATCCAACCCGCTTCATGATAGCCGATAGAGTGTTCGAATCACTCTTCGTCGTCACCACAAACCCAGCCAGGTTTGCACCCAGCGCGCTTTCAAGGACTCCAGACCATTTCGGCTTCAGCAGCCGTATATGGCTCCCCAAAGGCCCGACAGGTTTCCTCGAAAACTTGTACTGCTCCTGCTCAATAGCCCTTAACAACATAGGCATCTTTTCGTGGAAACCGTTTTGCTGTTGTCCTCTGTCCCGCACGAGGCTGCGAAGTCGATTTTCAGCTTGCTCTACATCAGACCGCTGCTTGATGACCGGTTCACGCTTCCCTTGGAATTCTCGTTCCGCTCTGTTCAGATCCTCTTGTAAGCGATCAACGTCTTTTCTGTGCGCATTGAATCTATTGTGCGCTTCTTCGGCTTGAGACTTCCTCTCCTCGAGTTCCGCCAACCTCCTAGCATGGTTCCCACCATCTAAATCCTCAAGTCGCCGTTTTTCTTCGTCTATTTTTCGTTGCGTTTCTGCGATGGCAGACTCGGCCGCCTTCAAATATTCGCGGATCGTGCGTTGTGTTGCCTTGTCTCGAAATTAATTATCAAAATGACATTTAACCAGATAATATTCGACGTACCTGGAGCTCACGGCGCTCTTTTAGAACCTCAGTCATACTTTCCTTTGCAACCTTTCCTCGATCCTCGTGAGATTCAAGTTCAGATCTTGCTGCTCGAACTGCCTCAAAAGCTACATTGTGTTCACGATCAGCTTCTTGATAAACTTCATCGGCTTTCACCAGTTCAGCCTCGAGATCTGCAATCTTCCGAGTTGCCTCCGCAAGTTGTGCATCGCACGAATCTCGATTCTATTCCACAGGTTAGCCCGAAACATACCTACCCCAATATGTATTGAACATATATATTTACGAACCTTTTCCTGTTCTTCAACCTGTACCCACGCCATCTGAGCTCTCAAATTTCTTATTCTAGCCCGCATAGTCTCATTCTTATCCGATAGCGCGAGCTTCGCCCTGGCGTTATTCCTATTGACCTCCAAATCCTTTATCTGGTCCAAATGAATCGACAATTTCGCTTCAGTCTGGTCAATCGACTCTTCAAGCAAGCGATAGTCCTGGTCCAGCTGCTCAAGCTGGACTCCCTTGACGAAAAATTTATATTTTTCCGATGGGCTGGAACTACTTAGAAACTGGCGGGCCATGTCTTGGGAGAGGACGTTCATGGGATTGTCAATCTGAAGGGCGAAGTAGTCTGTGATAGAGTCAAGTTCCGATTTCTTCGTGGACACAATTCGACCGGAGGAACTTTTAATTTTGAAACCGCTCGCGCCGCTTCTGGAGAAATGTCGCTCAATAATGATCGAGTTTCCGAATTCGTTGGGATTATATGCGCTATCTCCCTGGTTCTTAATGCGAACCACAATAGTTGCAGAGCTGCAAAGAAAGAGAAATAATTTAGTTAAATGTGTGCGCGGTCATCCATAAGATGCTTCTCACAGGAAGGCTTGTAAAAGAATAGCAAAGCAAGAGGACAAAAAAAAAAAAAAAAAAAAAAAAAAAAAAGGGGGGGGGGGATACATACTCCTTCCCCTCCTTAATAAAGCTCTTCAAACTCTGACCCCGGTTCGTCACGGACGCCTTCCCGCCCAAACAGAGAGTGAGAGCCGTAAGAATAGCACTCTTCCCACTCCCATTCTTGCCCACAATGAAATTTATCAGCGGGCCTAGGTCGACGGAGAAATGTTCATGGCACATGAAATTGTAGCAGTCTACTCGCTCGATGATGCCATGCTCTGCGGGCACGTTTTCTACGTTTTGCGAGAATTTATTCTGGACGTATTGGCTCGCTCGGTGCTCGATGGTTTCCTCGTCGAGGTCGGGTTCGGATGGGAGTTCGGTTGGGGATTCGGATTCAAACTCGGGCTCGGCTTCAGGTTCGCTGGGGTTGTGGTCTGGGTTTGTGCCGCCGCGCTCGGAGGCGGGGGCGGAGTCGTACGGAGTCGAGGCAGGGGAGGAATTGGTAGAGTCATTGTCGCTGTCACTGTCACTGTCGCCTCGGACTGCTAGGACATCCGAAGTGCGCACCTTCTTTCTCTATATAATTGGATTGTATATTAGTCCAACCATGCCTAACAATTTTTTTTCTATAGAATCGAAGAGGAAGGGCTGCTTGATTATATATCTCAATATTGTTTCTTACCGGGCCAGGCTGTGAACCTGAAGGCGCACTCGAGGCGGGGACATGGTGCGGATCGACTCGAGTCCGCTTGATCGGAGCCATGGGGGAGAAAAGGAATAAACAACGGTCGAATCGCAGGTCATGAGGGAGCTTTTTGTAGAGTCAGAGCAATCCCAACGCTCCAGGTCCTCGTGCAGCTATTTAGAAACCTGATGGGATGCCTTCATCGTTGAGCTGTTGTTGAGATATTTAGTTGTCGCAATGTCGCGTCGCGTGCAAAACGATATGCATCGGGAAGTCACGTGATATCAAAGTCAATATTGCCCGATCGAGATATTGAGAGACGACGACAACAGGATCCCAAGAGAGAATAACCGCTTGCGTTCCCAACCACATATTTTTGGGGAAACAGGAGCCCCTGTAACTACAAGGTTTGGACAATCGAAGACTGGCACTCCATCCTCTGTCGTGAGGGTAGAATGTAATAAGATAATTAACCAGGCGGT